TTTTCTGTTGATCAATTGGAGATAAGAGTCTCACCAACTTTCCTGCCCAGGCTGGCTTTGAACCAAGATCCTCAGATCTCAGCCTCTTGATTACAGGTGTGAGCCACCGACACCCAGCTTCCTTACAGTTTCTTGATCCTGACACTGGTCAGGTGGGGGTGCTCTCCTTGTTAAACCCCATTGTTTATATGTGTACTTCTATATGATGAAGTTTCCCACCACCACCCCCACCCCCAAAAAACCCCACAGCACTTCTTGCTCTCCCATACAGTCATGGTGAGGTTCTGGCATATGAGAAACAGAATTTGAGCTTCTAAAGAAACTGCTAGGAGTACTAGTCTCTGAACTGTGACCCTTGACCCTCCTCCCTATCTGCCTACCTTCTTCCTGCCTGATCCTCAAGAGATGCTGACGGCAAAGCAGCTGCCCGGCCAGTGTGCAGGTGGCGGCCACGTGCAAAGGACGGCAGACAGCCAGCACCATGGCTCACGCCTGTAATCCTAGCCATTCATGAGGCTGAAATCTGGAGGACCATGTTCATTTTTTTTTTTTTTGGGTCCGGTCGTGGGGCCTGAACTCTGGGCCTGGGTGCTGTCCCTCAGCTCTTCAGCTCAAGGCTAGTGCTCTACCACTTGAGCCACAGCGCCACTTCTGGCTTTTTTTGCTTATGTGGTGCTGAGGAATCAAACCCAGGGCCTCATGCATGCAAGGCAAGCACTCTACCACTGGGCCACCTTCCCAGCCCTCTTAGCTTTTTTACACAAGGCTGGCATTCTACTCTGAGCCACAGTGCCACTTCTGGCTTTGTGGTGGTTAATTGGAGATAAGAGTCTCACAAAGGAAGTGGTGCTGTGGCTCAAGTGGTAGAGCATTAGCCTTGAGCTGAAGAGCTCAGAGACAGTGCCTGGGCCCAGAGTTGAGACCCACAACCGACACCACCCCTCCCCTCCCCCCAAAAAAAAGTTTAAAAGGAAGGCTTTTTAGGTGGGCGCTAGTGGTTCATGCCTGTAATCCTAGTTACTCAGGAGGCTGAGATCTGAGGATCACAGTTCAAAGCCAGCCCTGGCAGGAAAGTCCATGAGACTCTTACCTCCACGTAACCACCAGAAAACCGGATGTGGTGCTGTTGCTCAAGTGGTAAAGCACTAGCCTTGAGCTGAAGAGCTGAGGGACAGCATCCAGGCCCAGAGTTCAAGCCCCAAGACCAAAGAGTCTCACAGACTTTCCTTCCTGATCTTGTTTTGAACCAAAATCCTCAGATCTCAGCCTCCTGAGTAGCTAGGATTATAGGCATGAGCCACCAGTGCCCGGACGGTGGCTCACACCTGTAATCTTAGTTAGGAGGCTGAAATCCAAGGATTGTGGTTCAAAGCCAGCTCAGGCAGGAAAGTCCATGAGACTCTTATCTCCAATTAACCACCAGAAAACCAGAAGTGGCACTGTGGCTCAAGTGGTAGAACACTAGCTTTGAGCTGAAGAGCTGAGGGACAACTCCCAGGCTCAGCGTTCAAGCCCAGGACCAAAAAAGAAGCTGAATGTGCCATTTCACACCTATAACCCCAGCACTCAGGATTCTGAGGCAGAAGGATCACAAATTCAAGGCCAGCCAGGGGTACATGGTTGACCTTGACTAAAGACATCAAAAGGATTCAGGACAAATATAAATATTGACCTGTGTGGCAACTTTCCTTTCTCCTCAGGCAGCATTTTTTCCCATTTGAATTCCCCTAGCAGTCCAAGCAGGCTGTCTCCCCGGGATTGTAGTGAGCTGCATGGCATACAGGTGTAAATATCACCTTCACCTAGGCTGGCTTGGAACCATGATCCTCCTGATCTCCACTCCCTGATTACAGGTATGAGCCACCACAGGCAGGCTGGATTAATTACACACGTTCATTAAACTTCATGGAGGTTATGTGGGACATTCTCCAGCTCTGAGAGGTTCTAGGTGCAGGAATGGAAGACTCCTCTTTCACCCAGATCTTCCTGTAAGGCAGCCGAACTGGAAGCTTTAGTCAGAGTGGAATCAGGCGACAGTGGCTCATGGACTGTAATCCTACCTACTTAGGAGGCTGAGATCCAGAGGATTGCAGTTTGGAGCCACCCTAAGCAGAAAAGTCTATGAGATTCCATCTCCAAAATAACTAGCCAAAGGGAAGGCTGCAGGTGTGGATCAAATGGTAGAACCCCAGCTGTGAGCAAGAAAGGCATGTGAGAGTTCACTCAAGTGAGTGGGGGGGGGGGAAACTTCTAAAACAAAATTAAACCCAAAGCAGAACTGGGTGCCAGTGGCTCATGCCTGTCATCTTAGCTACTAGAGAGGCTGAGATCTGAAGATCAAGGTTCAAAGCCAGCCAGGCAGGAAAGCCTGTGAGACTCATCTCCAATTAGCCACCAGAAAATGGAAAATGGCACTGTGGCTCAAAGTGACAGAGCACTAGCCTTGAGCAAAAAAAAAAAAAAAAAGAGCTCAGGGACAGTGCCCAGGCCCTGAGTTCAAGCCCCACAACCACCACCACCACCAAAAATCTAAAGAAAACCTGAAAGATTTGGTGAAGAAGTTTCTGTACAATTATTGAAGGACTGACCCCCACTTTTGTTTTTTCAGGTGCATACAGATACCAGGCAACGCTCCAAAGATATGTGCAGCCTGCCTGACTCCAGCAGGGCCATCTCTCTAAGCCCATAGGCCCAACCGAAAAGCCCTCCACCTTCCTTGACCTAGTGGCTTTTTCATTAACCTCTGCCTCCTTGCTCAGACCTCATAAAACCCAGCTCCTGTCCCAGCTCTGACACACAGCTCCAAGCCCACGGGATGGCTTTGCCCCTAGCTTCTCTTTCTCAATGAACAGTCCTCGCCTGTGAAGACTGAGTCCGGCCTGTTTCCTTCCTTTCTCCTCCATTTTCCTAACAATTATAATTTATTTATTATTATTATATTTGTTGTTGTTGGTGGTGGTCATGAGGCTTGAAATCTGGGTCTGGGCGCTGTCCCTCAGCTCTTCAGCTCAAGGCAAGCACCCTACCACGAGAGCCATAGTGCTACTTCCTGTTTTCTGGTGGTTAACTGGAGGTAAAAGTTTCATGGACTGTCCTGTCCAGTCTGGCTTTGAACCATAATCCTGAGATCTCAGCCTCCTGAGTAGCTAGGGTTATAGGCATGAGCCACCAGTGCCTGGCTCAATTTTTTTTTTAATTGTATGAGTTTGATGAGCTACCAAAGTCCCAATGTTTAAAAAAAAAATGCATGTCTTCAACGTTCTAAAGTCTGGGTGTCTAAGACCAAGGTCCGAGCAGGGTTGGGTCCTTCGAGGCCCCTCCCCTTGGCTTGTGCCCTCACAGGATCTTGCCTCCAGTATATCTATGTCCCAATCTTTCCACTTCTCATAAGGACACCAGTCTTCTGACAAGACCCACTCTAATGACCAGATTTTAACTCAATTTCCTCTGTAACGACTCTTTATCTCCAAACCAGAACTATAGTGCACATCTATAACCTCAGCAACTCAGAAGGCTGAGGGGCAGGAAGTCCTGGGGTTTGAGGCCAGCCTGTGCTGCTCAGTAAGATATGTCTCTAGATCTGGTCTTTTTAATGCTCTGGAGTTGGGACTTCAGTACTGAATGTGGGCACCAATGGAGGGATGTAACTTAATTCAAGCTTATTTTGTTCAACGTCCAACAAAAACCTTCCAAACTATAAAAGTGTAAGTGGGAGATTTCATCACAATTTTCCACTGCCTTCATCCTATCTCAGCTGTTAAATCACTAAAAAGCCTCAGCGTTTTAATTTGACATTGGATGTCTTAGAGAGTTCCCAGATGCTCCCAGTTTGAGATCTTATTTTCTCAGGCAGCGGCTCCGGCTCAGCTCTTAGTCACCGCAGGCCTTCTAGAACACTCTGTGCGGCATCTGCACACTTGCAAGGGCCGGGACCAGGACAGGGCGTTTTCTGAGTAATCTGACTCCTCACAGCCTTCCTCCTCACGAATGGCTGAGCTGCTGGCTTTTTCCCAGAAATAGATGATGTTTTACGTCGGAACTGGTTTTGGGAAAAGTTGATGAGACGCGTCAAGAGATGAAGTACAGAAAAACAGCCCGGGCTGAGTCAGCGGCGGGGGAGGACTTCCGCGAGCCGCCGCTGGGAAAGGCACAGCGGGGCGTGGCCAGCGTCGGGGGCGTGGCTCGATCCGCAGGGGGCGTGGCTCTCATGGCACGGCAAGCTCCGCAGCTGCCTAACCTGACTCAAGGCCCTGAGTTCAAATCTCCATTCAATCCCCCCACCCCCAGAAAGGAAGGAAAGCCGGGCGCCCGCGGCTCACACCTGTAATCCTAGCAACTGGAGGGGATGAGATCTGAGGACAGCTATTCAAAGCCAGCCCGGGAAGGAAAGTCCATGAGACTCTTACTTAGTCCATGAGATTCCAATTCCAATTCCAAAAAGCCGAAAGTGGAGGTGTGGTTCAAGTGTTAGAGCGCCATGTTTAAGCAAAAAAGGTCAGGCATAGTACCCGGGACCTGAGTTCAGGTCTCAATATCAGCACACACGCAAAAGTTCTTGTTGAATGTCTACGTTGTGGCAGTTGAATTATAACCTCCTAGCTACAGTGAAGATTCAGGAAGAGGTGCAAGATCAAGGTCGGTCCATAAGGCAAAAAAATAATAAAATAAAATAATGTTTATATCTATCTATATCTATATCTATCTATCTATATGGACACTTTTTCCCCCATCCTGTAGCCAGAATATCACAAACCACTTTGAGTCTCAAGCCAATACTCTCTTGTTGCTACCTGCCCTACCGTACCTCGCCCCGCCCCACTCGCCGAACCGCGGATGTTTATTGGCCAAGGGTTCTCAGAGCCACGCCCTCTTTGTTACCCAGGCCTCGCCCGCAGAGGGCAGCTACTGCGCCGGCGCAGTCGGGACCCCTGGGGTCCTCCATACCACCGAACTGGGCTCCTAGAGTAGCCCCGAGTAGGCGCGCGCGTCGCACCCGGAAGTGCTGGCGCCTGGGCTCGGGCATCATCGGTGGGAGGCTGGCGGCTAGTTCCTACATCCATCCATTCATTCATTCATTCAACAGAAGCTTGTGCGGAGGCACAGGCGTAAGCGAGGCGGGCTGTGCCCCCTTAAAAGGCTGAGGGCCAGGTGACGGACCCTGGCCTGGTCCTGCCCACCGTGGGGGCGCGGACCCCGGCCCGGCCCTGCCCGCCGTGGGGAGCCGGGGCTGGCCAGGCATCGCAGGTAAAAGGAGCCGTCCGAGCCTGTGGGGTGCGTGGGGTCCCCCGAGGTGAAGCTGGAAAAGTAAGTAGGGGCGACTCGGACGGGCGGCGTGTGCGCGGTGGGGAGCCCCCGTTCCCGCGGCAGCCGGGAAGGGGTGTGGATCTGCACTTCGGAGCGGCGACGAGCTGTCGGGCCTGGGCTGCGCAGCAACGATCCAGGAGGCTGCTCCCGCGCTCGCGTGTGTGTGATGGTGACACAAATCAGTGTAAGGCTACTGGCTTCTTCCAAGATGTGTAAACCGCCTTGACAGCAAGGACTCTTCTCTGTTTGGTTTCTGCTTGGCACATAGTAAGTAAGTCCCTAATAAATGTTAAGTAGATGGATGACGGGCTGGGAAGGTGGCTCAGTGGTAGAGCGCTTGCCTTGCATGCATGAGGCCCTGAGTTCGATTCCTCAGCACCACATAAGCAGGAGGGGAAAAAGCCGGAAGTGATGCTGTGGCTCAAGTGGTAGAGTGCTAATCTTGAGGTGAAAAGCTGAGGGACAGCGCCCGGGCCCAGAGTTCAGGCCCACGACCAGACCCCTCCCAGAAAAAAAGTAGTTGAATGATGGATGGATAAGTGGATTTTGTGTGTGTGTGTGTGTTGGTAGCCAAAGCTTGAACTCAGGACCTCATGTTCTCACTTGGCTTCTTTGCTGAGGGCTGGTGCTCCACCACATGAACCACACCTCTAGTCTGGCTTTTTGCTGGTTAATTGGAGATGGAGTCTTATGTACTTTTCTGCATTGGCTGTCTTTGAACCATGATCCTCAGATCACAGCCTCTTGAATAGCTAAGCTTTCAAGCATGAATTCACAAGGCTCTTGAGGAAACTTCACTGAGTTGTTAGGAGAAACTGGGAAGTAGGGGTGACAGATGAAGGAAAATTGGAAGAACACAAGTAGTCCAGTCTTGGTAGTAGGGTTTTTGTTTTTTTTTTTCAAGCATTCCTCCTGAGCTAACCACTGATACAAGCTGAAAGTAAAGAAACCTAGAACCCACTCCACCTGGCAATGGACTCCAGAGAGAAAGCCAGAATCTGCAAAAATAGAACAAATATCAGTCCTAGATTGTTTTCTCAGCACCCCAAAATGTCAGCTTCCTTTCTGCTCACCCACATGACTGAATTTAACAAAAGCATAATTTCCTTTTGAATATTCTCACCTACCTGCATGAAGTCATAGGGCTGATTTAAAGTTTGTATTTTATTGCATTACTGTTCCATAATTTAATAAAACCATCATGTGGTGTTTTGTTGTTTATTTATCTTCTCCGATAATTCAGGAAAAGTAGCTTCATGACTCCTTTTTTAAAACTTTGTATTGAATATTTTCTCAAATAAATTTACTCAGCCAAATACTTTCATACCATACTGTATATTACTTTAAAAATGGCCAGGCACAATGGCTCATGCCTATGATCCTAGCTACTCAGGAGGCTGAGATCTGAGGATCAAGGTTTGAAAACATTGGGGCAGAAAGATATCCAAGACTCTTATCTCCAATTAGCCAGCAAAAAGCCAGAAGTGGAGGTGTGGCTCAAGTAGTAGAGCACCATCCCTGAGGAAGAAAGGTAAGGAAGAACATGAAGCAATGAGTTTAAGCCCCATACTGGTATGCAAAATATTAAAATTAAAAACAAAAAGATTTGTCCTTTAAGCATGGAGCTCTCTTCTCTTACCTGCAGTGGCAGCTGAAATTAAGCAGCAGGGAAGGACTCAAGTTCAAATTCCAGCATCTCTGCTTCTAGCTCTGTTTCATTGGGAAGATGACAGAACGTTCTGGAGCCTGAGTTTCTTCAGAGTTCAAAAAGGAGCTTAAAATGGCATCTTTTGTGCTAGTCACTGGTGGCTCAGTCCTGTAATCCTAGCCATTCTGGAGACTAAGTGTTAGGAATCTGCTTTGTTTTCCCAACTCCCAGTTTCCCATGGCATGGCCCTCTGAATATGCTTCCCCCTCCTCCCCAGAGGGACCTTCCCAGAATTTTTTTTTTTTTTTTGCCTGTCCTGGGGCTTGAACTCAGGGCCTTAGCATTGTCCCTGGGCCTCTTTGTGCTCAAGGCTAGTGCGTTACTATTTTTTTGGGGGGGGTCAGTCATGGGGCCTGAACTCTGGGCCTGGGCGCTGTCCCTCAGCTCTTCAGCTCAAGGCTAGCGCTCTACCACTTGAGCCACAACACCACTTCTGTTTTTTTCTGCTTATGTGGTGCTGAGGAATCGAAGCCAGGGCCTCATGTATGCAAGGCAAGCACTCACCACTGAGCCACCTTCCCAGCCCTTTACTACTTCTTGAGTCACAGCTCCACTTTTCTGAGTAATTTATTGGAGATAAGAGTCTCATGTGGACTTTTCTGCCCAGGATGGTTCCGAATTGTGATCCTCAGATCTCAACCTCCTGAGTGACTAGGATTATAGGCATGAGCCACCAACATCAGGCCTGGAATTCTCCCTGGAATCCTGTCATCTAATCCCAAATGATACGAATCTAAATGTGAACACACACACACATACATACACACACATCGGCCCCAATTGACAGGCACCTGAGTTCCTGAACCACAACCTGCACTGTAGGTTTGCACCACAGGTTCCCAGAAACAGACCTGTGTAAAACAAATTCAGCCCCAGCAAGCCTCAGTACCCATACCAGTACCACAGACTTGCAAGACAAGTCCTAAAACTCTTTGAACTCTCCAGCTCCCTGCAACCTTACCCCCACCCATGACCTTACTTGACATACCCCCACTCGTGCCCCCATTATGCCTCAGATCTCCTAAATCCTCAGGTCACCTTGGTGTCCCTCGACAACCTTCATTCAAGTTGATCTGGTCTGTTTTCATTCTTCCTGCCTCTCAAATCCATCTTTTTCTCTGAGATATGAGGATGGAGGTTCAAAGCCAGCCCTGTCAGGAAAGTCCATGGGATTCAATTCTCTGATTAACCACCAAAAAGCCAGAAGAGCTGTGACTCAAGAGGTAAGAGTGCCAGTCTTGCAGAAAAAGCTAAGTGAGAGCCTAAGCCTTTGCAAACGTGACAGGTGCTTGGACAGTAACCCAGGCAGGTGCACTGACCTCTTTACTATTAGTGCTTTTGTCCATGTTTAAACAGCAGTCTCTGCCCATAGGGAACTTCCATTCCATGGAAAGGCTGAGTCAAGGTGAAAAGACTGCAAGTCTAACCAAACATCACTTCACTTCCCCTTGCTTCCAACTGCCTTCCCTCTCCAGTAGACCCAAAGATGGTAAACCCAAAGACAACCCTGCAAGAGACAAGTTCCTATTGTAGTGAAACTGAAGTCCAGGAGTCCCAAGATCTCCCCACCACTTACCTCCATGTGCAAATAAAGATGGAGAAAGGCAGAGAAAGGGGGTTTTATTACACAACATTCCTGGGAAGACATTGCTCCAGTACAAGAGTGTGGGGGTGTACAGACATTGTCTGAAGGTTAAATAGGGAAAATGAAAATAGGGGGAGGGAGGGAGAAAGGCATGTATATCTCAGACAGTGCTAGGTCACTGGTCTGGCCTGGTTAACCTTTGTCTCAGTCTTTTCCTCAGAGGAGGTGGGGGAGAATTGTAACTTTGCCATTGGAATGACTGGCAGGTAGTCCTGAGTTTTTGGTTGTTTGCTGTAATATGCTAAGAAGGCTTTGCCTGTTTGAGGGGAGGGTTTGACTTCCACACAAGATGCTCATTTGTGAAACTTGGAGTTCAAGGTGATTGCAAAGGGACTGCAGCACAGAATAGGTCAGATGAAAGGACACAGACAGCCGGGCGCCGGTGGCTCATGCCTGCAATCCTAGCTACTCAGGAGAATGAGGTCTGAGGGTCCTGGTTCAAAGCCAGCCCGGGCAGGAAAGTCCGTGAGACTATCTCCAGATAACCACCAGAAAATCCAAAATGGCACTGTGCTCAAGCGCCCAGGCCCAGAGTTCAAGCCACACGACCGACCAAAAAAAAAAAAAAAAAAGGACACAAAGTTAGGGGGCTGCAGTTCATCCACGGGGCTCAGCACAAGCATCTTTCAAGTTTTGCAGCTGCAGTAGTGATTGCTGTGCTTGGCCCATCTCCTGCTATGCATGTGACTAATATCCCGTCCTCTATCCTGCGTATAGAAATACCTGCCCCAGGTATTTCGTTGGGATCTCGATGCAGGCAGCGGGTTTCTGGGGATGTCAGGCTGCGCCCTACAAAGACGCGATCCCTGCAGGGTTTTCCATCCCAGAGCCTGGCTTGCCAGGCTCGGTCCCGGACTTGTGGGTTGGGTCTGCCGGCCCCCAGCGCCGGCTGGAAGCCGGAGGGGCGGGGTCGCCCGGGCGTGCGCACTAGCGCCCCCTGCGGCAGGGCCGACAGGGGCAGGCGGGGCCGGGCCAGACTGGCTGCATCCGTCGGGTGCCGGAAGTGCCTCTCCGCCCCTGCACCGGACCATGGAGACCGTGGTCCTGTAGAGTCCGCGGTGCGAGGACTGCGGGGGCGGCGGCCATGGAGGCCGTGCTGAACGAGCTGGTGTCTGTGGAGGATCTGAAGGTGAGGCCTGGCCCGCGGAGGCGAAGGGGAGAGTGGTGGACGGGTCCCGAGCAGAGTCCCGCGAAGGCCAAACTCACTCCCAGCCTCTGCTTTGCCCAAGGCAGTCGAACTACGACTCCCGGCAGCCCTTGCGGCGCGAGCTCCTGCCCGAAAGGCGCTCTTGGCCCTAGAGGCTGCTGGGAGTTGTAGTTCTTTCCGCCTCCGTCCGAAGGCCTGGAGTCGGGATCTGGGTTTGCAGAGCTGGGCGTTCCGGACGTCCCTTAGTGGTGAGACGGCGCAGTGCCGAGCTCTGTCCCTGCCGTGTCCCCGGCCTTGCAGCCGTGGGAGGCGGGCCCTGCCTCTGCTCCTGGCTGTCGGCTGAGATGAAAGCGCGGGCGGGCCCGGGCGCCTCCCCGAGGACTCGGGTGTCGCGGGCCAGGCTGGCGAGTTTACGGTCCCGCTGCCCGGGCGGTGCCTGGAGCCGCCAGCAGGCGGCCGCGCCGCCGCGGGGAGGGCGGGAGCAGAGCCGCGGGGTACCAGGCCCCGAGGTCGCGGAGGGGAGGAGAGTGGCCGGCACCTCCGGTTCTGAACGGTCGCCCCTCTGCTCTCCCCTCCTCTCCTCCGGCAGAAGTTTGAAAAGAAATTCCAGTCGGAGCAGGCGGCGGGCTCCGTGTCCAAGAGCACACAGTTCGAGTACGCCTGGTGCCTGGTGCGGAGCAAGTACAACGATGACATCCGCAGAGGCATCGCGCTGCTGGAGGGTGAGGCGCCGGCCACCGACCCTGCCCGCCCGCCCGCCTCGGGCTGGGCGTCCTCGCCATTGGCCTCCCTCCCTCCATCTCAAGCGCCGGACCCTACCTCGCAGCGCGGTCCCTCCGCAGCAGGGCCCAGTCAGTCCGCCAGGATGGCTAGAGCCGGCCCTCCACAGCCACAGCTTTCACACTTGCAAATTTATAGTAACCTAAGAGACTTTGAAGAAAGAAAAAAGACATGCTGTCTACCGAGCATGTACAGACATTTCTTTTTTGGGGGGTGGAGAGGGGGGTCCGGTCGTGGGGCCTGAACTCTGGGCCTGGGTGCTGTCCTTCAGCTCTTCAGCTTAAGGCTAGCACTCTACCACTTGAGCCACAGGCCACTTCCGGCTTTTTTTTCTGCTTATGTGGTGCTGAGGAATCGAACCCAGGGCGTCATGCATGCAAGGCAAGCGCTCTACCACTGAGCCACCTTCCTAGCCCCAGACGTATCTTTTTAATGCTGAGGCTGAAGCTTGAACTCACTGAGGACCTGGGCACTGTCCCTGTGGTTTTTCACTCAAAGCTGACACTCTACCCCTCAAGCCACAGTTTTTTTGGTGGTTAATTGGAGATAAGGGTCTCATGGACTTTGTTGCCCTTGATGCTCAGATCTCAGCCTCCTGAGTAGCAGCTAGGATTGCAGGGCCTGGCAAGTGGCAAGTGTCTTTGTTAATGCAAACACAGAGCCTACACTGGCAGTTGGGTTGTTCAGGTTTCCCTGATGGAGCTAACCAGTAGATGTGGTCTGTGGTCATCGATAGTCCAGCTGCAGGCAGTGCAGACCACTAGGAAGGATGCAGAACTTCTTGGGTGCAAGCTCTGGTCCCCAGGGAAAGTCGGGGGGCGGGTCACTCAGGGAAGATGAGTTAGAGAAAAGGAATCACATCCTTTTAGGGGCCAGATGGTCACTGTTCTCAGTCAGCAGATGGTGAGGCCAGTGACTGTAGTGGGATGCACAGCAGAGCTACCCTTTGTGTGTTTCTGTTTCTTTTGATTAAAACAGGCTCTCACTGTGTAGCTGGCGAACTCATGATCCTCTTCATCAGCCTCCTGGGTACTGGTATTAACAAGAGTGTGTCACAGTGCTTGGCAAGGGTAGAACTGCCTTTGAACTTCTGTGCCTTGGTTTCCTATCGGTTCACAAGGATGCACAGCTATCAGTGATTCCAGGATGCATGTCACTGGGGTGTTGGGCAGCCCGTGCTATCATGGCGACCCAGCATCAATGGGAGGTGGAAAGAAGTCTTTTGGAGCACCCCATTAAGAGAAGAGAGGCAATTTTTGCTTTCTTTTCCCTCTTCCCCAAGAGCTGCTGCCCAAAGGGAGCAAGGAGGAGCAGAGGGATTATGTCTTCTACCTGGCTGTGGGGAACTACCGGCTCAAGGTAAGGCCCTCAGGAAGGCCACCCGTGGGAAGCGGGCAGGTGTGATGCAGGTGAGAGTAGGCAGGACAGGCCCCTTGAAGGAAGGGTAGAAGATCAGGATCCTGCAGGTGTAGGTCCGCCGTTATGTCTGGGGTGCAGCCCAGGCCTCGTGCTCTTATCTCCCCTGGCTTATCAACCCCACACAGTTGGGTCGGTGGACTCTACTCCATTGGGTGGGGCTGGGGTGAGGCTGGGACAGGGAGGAGGTGAGGGAATAGTGGGCATAGGAGAGGAGCCTGGGCGGGGCAGGCGGGGCTGGAGTCCACGGGTGCCCACGGTGTGGGGCATGTTTTCCCACGAGTCCAGGAATATGAAAAGGCACTGAAGTACGTGCGAGGGCTGCTGCAGACCGAGCCGCAGAACAACCAGGCCAAGGAACTGGAGCGGCTCATTGACAAGGCCATGAAGAAAGGTGACAGCCTCAGCCTCTGTGTGCCCTCCTGGGCCCTGGCTCCCCCCAGCCTCAAGAAGGGGTGCACCCATTCCGCCTCCTGACCCCCTTCTCCCTTTCTGCAGATGGACTAGTCGGCATGGCCATCGTGGGTGGCATGGCACTGGGCGTGGCGGGCCTGGCTGGACTCATCGGGCTGGCTGTGTCCAAGTCCAAATCCTGAAGGAAGCTGGACCTGCTCCTTGGCCCCGGGCACCTGGGAGGCTGAGGGCACATGAGGGGCCCTGGCCATCCTTGCCAGCCTTCTCCCTTGTCATCTTTCCGCCTCTCCCTCTACCCCCCCTCCCCCCGTGGCCTTCCATCCCCCCCCCAACTGTGACCTTGAGTGTAAATAAATGTAGGCCATGGGCCGTGGCTTGCAAAGCTAGAGTCTGATTTGTGGGAGGGGTGGGCTCGCCTCAGGCAGGTGTTGGTCACCCCTGTGGTCCTCTCCTGCCCTGCCCCCCCCTCGCTGCTGTGAGCCTCTGCTTTGTCCTCTGAGCTGCCCCGCCCACATCCTTCCTTCCTCTCCCCCCTACTGCCCTTCCGTGGCTTTCTGTGGCCCGGCACCCTGTCCCCGGGGAACGGTTGAGATTTACGGCCCGGGTCTCCTCTCACCCACTCAGCTGCCTCCAACACCACCTGTGGAGTTTTCCACACCAGGAGGCCCCCACTCAGCTTCCTCCCAGGACTCCGCCCTTCCCTCCCTTTGTCTCCCTTGCCCCCCCTCCTCCTCCTGAGAGGAAGGGGGGGGCAGGGAAGGGAGCCCTGGTGTGGGGTGGTGTGTGGGAGAGGTTGGGGCCATGGGGGTATCCCAGTTCAGCCTGTGGAATGGGAGGCCCCACCCAGCCCACTTCGCCCACACCCCCGGTGCCAGGCTCTGCATGGGCCTGTGTCCTCGCCGCATGCCTATCGTTCCACAGCCTGCCACGCCACGGGGGGCGGGGGGGGTGGGAAGAGGCACCTGACACTGGAAAAGGGCTGGTGATGGGAGGATGGGCACCCCACAGGCACCCCATTCCCCCTCCGACGGCCGAGGTCCTGCACCAACCGGTACCTGTGACTACCCTACCCGAAACAGGTGCTGGGCCTGCCTTCCAATCCATCACCATCAATATAGCAGGTGACAGCCGTTGGTAGCAGAATGAGTTAGGCAGAGATTAGCCACACGCCCCTGGGCAGAGAGACCTAGCTCAAGACTCAAAGGTCAGCTCCCAGAGGAGGGAAACCCCAGTTGGGGCAGGTGGCTGCCCTCAGCCCTGCAGCACTCAGACAGGGACTCGGGGGGCCACTAACAGGTGAGGGCTGTGATCCCTGGAATCACAAGCCCCGGGCCTGTAGCGATCGCCAGCCCAGGGCCCCCAAGCCCCCTTGATAAGGTAGCATCTAGGCTGTCCCCAACTCGGATCCCCCAGCTGCCTACCCTTCACCAACCTGCTTAGTCCTCACGTGACCCAGCACCCCAGGGCTGGCTGTGCCCCAGGACAGGCAGGGAGACAGTCTGAGGTGGGCTTCTTTGGGCACTGTTACCTTTCCCCTCTTTGCCAGTCCGACTCCATTCTCTGACCTCCTGTGAAGTCTGAGTCAGAGTTGGCCACTTCCCCTTGGCTGCTGATGTCTCCCTTGGGGCGCTCCTGCCCAGGCCGGGGCTGTCTGGCCTGGCGTTAGTCTCCCAGCAAGTCTACTCCCCCACCTGGCAGGGCGGGGAGTGGGGCGGCCCAGAGGCTGGGGGCGGGGATGGACTTTTGGCCATTTATTCCCTCCATCTCTTGTCAACAGCTGCAGAGCAAGCGGGGCTCGGCTCATTCCTCTGACCTGTGGGGAAGCAGAGACCCAGAAGACAGCGGAGAACCCAGAGACAGAGCAGACCTGAGGAGCTGTGGTGGGCAGGGCTCTTCAAGTCCTCCCTGGCTGGAGTCCCTTGGGGGCCCCCCAGGGGTGCTGCCCTTGCCCCTCTGTGGGGCCGCTGCCCCAGGGGGCCCTGTCGCCCAGGATGTCTGTGGCTGTAGAGGCCTTTGGCTTTTTCCTGTCAGCCCTGGGGCTGCTGATGCTGGGGCTGACACTGCAGAACAGTTACTGGCGGGTGTCCACCGTACACGGCAACGTCATCACCACCAACACCATCTACGAGAACCTGTGGTTCAGCTGTGCCACCGACTCCTTGGGCGTCTCCAACTGCTGGGAGTTCCCATCCATGCTCGCATTGTCCGGTACAGGACCCCTGGGCAGGGGTGTGGCGGGGCTGTGGGCATCAGGGATTCAAGCTCTGGGCCCTCGACGGCCACAGCCAGGAATGCTCTGGGCACCATCCGGATGTGGAATAAGGCCTGGGTATACTTGTGCCGCCAGTGGAGGGGCCAGTGTGGCTCTAAGTCAAACTCCTGCTGCTGCTAGTTCTATGTCCAGGCCACGCAATGGTGCAAGCTCCATGCCTGCCATTTGCACCCTTAGGACAGACGTATGGGGCACAGATGGCCATAGTGATGAAACCTGAAACCCAGTGTGTGGGGGCACTTGGTACATTTGGGGTTTCATTCTAGGCAGGACTGCTGGGGCTGGGGGTATGAGGCCATGGCCCAACATGGGACTCCGGGTGGTAGATCGGCTGCCAGTGTCAGTGTCCTACCTGGGTGTCCACAGCCGGGTGCCCAGCTGCCCTGCTGAGCTCCACAGGGCTCTTGGTCAGGCCTGGCTGTGGTGGAAAGGGGGGCCAGGCAGGTGCAAATGCTGGCTGCAGAGGGCTGTGTGTGAGCATGTGTGGGTAATTGCGGGGCTCATGGTGGTTGATGAGGTTCTTAAAGTGCTGTCGCCTGGATTGTGAAACCTCTGATAGCTACACGTCCTCCTACCTCTGGCTCAGCCCATTTTTCCTGCCCTGAAAGACATGGCCCTCAAATCTGAGGATCATGGTTCTAAGCCAGCCCAGGGAGGAAAGTCCAAGAAACTTTTCTATTAACCACCAAAAAGCTGGAAGAGGAGTGGTGGCTCAAGCACTAGAGTGTTAGCCTTGAGTGGAAAAAGCGAAGGGACAGTGCCCAGAGCCTGAGTTCAAGTTCCAGGACTGGCACAAAACAAGATGCCCTGAGCATCTGGGTGCCCAATGCCTGCTGACTCCTGGGTTAACCATTCAGCCTTCTGTCCAGGACTGTGTGCAGACACGCCCCTCTGCTGAGTTGAGGCCAGTGAGGGCCGGAGGCCCAGAGTGCTGTGTGCCGGGAGGGGTACACAGCCCACAGCAGCCCTGTGAGGACATTTACCTGCAGAGCCTGGCACCCAAGGGGCCCGTGGGACGGTGTGAGTGTGCAGAGCTGGTGTGCAAGGGTACGGGTCTCCTTACCTTCCCCTTGGCCCTTACCTGTGAACCCCCTGTCTGCAGGGGTGGTGGGCACAGAGGCTGGGCATCCCTGCAGTCCTGGAAGTGGCTGGAAGGAGCTGGGACTCTGGGCTGTGGTGTCCTGGGGAGGGGGCCAGGCTGTCACCCCTCCTGGCCGTATCTGCAGACTCCTCCAGGGGGGCACAGAGTTGGTGGGGGACTCTGGGACTCTGAATGGCTTCCTAGAGAACTTTGTCCCCCCCTCTCTGCTCCCCAACTTGGGCCACTTCCCTTCTTCCTGGTAGGGATTCAGCCTTTCCCCTTCAACACATGCTTGGGCCCCACCCGGGAAAGGGGTGCAAGGTCCTTGAGAATGCCTGGCAGCGAACAGAGACACAGGAGGAGTAGCAGAGACAGAAAGGAAGCGGCAGCTGCCCTCAGTGTTGAGAAAGGGGAAACTGAGGTATCCCAAGACTATGAATGGATAGGGCCTGGGCCAGTATCCCACCTTTCCAGATCAGAAACTCCCCTGACCCTCAGCCATGGGCCCCTACTGCCCCCTACTGGTCATTCCAGGAAGGAACTCAGGTCCTACACTAGGCACTGGTGGGGTTTGGAATCAGGAGTGAGGTTAAATGGTTTCCTGAAGCCTTGGCTCCCAACAAGAGGTGATCTTTGCATTTCCCCTGCCATAGCCTGGGCGAGGAGACTGACCAGGGGAGAGGTTGCAGAGATCTAGGAGGCTGTGCACAGGGTGTTCCCAATAACTGAGTATGCAGGTGTGCCAGATGGGACCCTGTAACAGGATAGCAGTGAGGCAGAGGGGGGCCTGTGGTCTTCTAGGAACTGGGAACTAGAGGGACACGGGTGCCTGGGGCCAGAGGGGCAGCCCCAAGGGTAACAGCTGTGCCCCCACCCCCTCTCAGGGTATGTCCAAGGCTGCCGTGCCCTCATGATCACTGCCATCCTCCTGGGCTTCCTGGGCCTTGGCCTAGGCCTGCTGGGGCTGCGCTGTACCAACTTTGGAAGCATGGAACTCTCCAGGAAAGCCAAGCTGGCGGCCATCGCAGGCGCCTTGGACATCCTTGCTGGTAATGGGGGAGGGGGAAGGGATGATCTCTCTGCCTTCATCTCTTCATCACCTTCCTTTTGGCACTGACATCTGGCCTCCCTGGCCCCCTCCACTCTCCACTCTCTGGGGAGAACCAGGGGCTCCTATGGAGTCAGGTGTGAGCCGGCTGGTGGCACTGACCCCAAAGCCAAGTAGGCCTGGAGAAGTCGCACTGCTTAGGAGGCAGAGCTAGGTCAGGGAGGGGTGCATGTCACCTACACTGGGCAACACGCCACCCACTCTGGGCCCATGTCACCCATCCTGGTCCCTCACAGTAAGCCTGGGAGGCAGGTGGGGATATGGTCAGAAAGGCGACAGCCCGGGGTTGGAGGGCTTTGTGAGGCCAAGCAAAGGACCAAGCCCTGGACCTTCAGGATGCCCGGGATTGGGACCGGCTCCAGGCCCTAGGGGTGAAGAGTGAACAGGGCAAGGTGGAAGAAGGAAGGCCGTGGGGTGGAGGGCCCCCAGTGTTGGGACAGGGAGTAGAGTGGGAGGAAGGGATTGGGTAGAAACATGCCCCCCAAGCCCCCCACCCCGGCTCCTCGCACTAATGCAGCCTCCTCTGCCTCCCAGGGGCCTGCGGGATGGTGGCCATCTGCTGGTACGCAGTCAACATCACCCAGAACTTCTTCAACCCTCTGTACAATGGGACCAAGTGAGTGGGAAGCCGCCTGCTCCAAGGTTGGGAGAAGCAGCCCACTTTCCCCCCTCTCCCCTGCTTACCACACCCACCCCTTCCAGGTATGAGCTGGGCCCCGCCCTCTACCTGGGCTGGAGCGCCTCCCTGCTGTCCATCCTGGGCGGTGGCTGCCTGGGCTCCAGCTGCTGCTGCGGCTCCAAGGAGGACCCAGCAGCCAGGTGAGGCGGGGGGACAGGATGAGGAGGGATTGGGTGAGGAGGGGGCTGGGGGGATGGGGGATGAGGAGGGGGGATGGGGTGAGGGGGCATGAAGAGGGAGGGATAGCTTGAGGGGGTGGCGGGGAGCAGGTCCCTCCGTGACACGCCACTCCCGCAGGCCCAGGCTTCCCTACAAGGCATCCACGGTGGTGGTGGCGCCTGGCCCCTCAGATGAAAGCGATATTAGCTTTGGGAAATACGGCAAAAATGCGTACGTCTAGGTGTAATAGGTGTTGGAGTCTCCGCCTGTGGACCCCCCCACCCCTGCCCAGTGGGGGCAGGGACCCCTTCCCTGCCCAGGGACCAACAGCCCCTTAAGAACCTCAGGGAAGTCCTGCCCACCCACAGCCCTCACTCCTTTAGTCTCCTCCTCCCTCCTACTCCAGCCCCAGGGAGGGTGACTCTCATCCTCCGGACCCTCCCAGGCCCGGAGGGGCTCTGGAGAACTCCCCTCGGGCCCAGTGGCCGGAGAAGTCCCTCCTGTGTGCATCCTATATAAATGTATAAATACGTGCATCTATAAATGTGTATTATACTGCCAGAGCTGCCCACTGCCTTTCAACTTCCTTCTCCAGCCCAGCAGCGTAGCGATTCCACAGTGGGGCTGAGGGGCTTGTGAGCATGGGGATGGCTCGGGATGTGGGGATGCGCGGTCCCACTGTGTGTGCAGCAGACTGGCTGGGTCTGGTGCAGGTGCATTTCTGAGTCCAGAGAAGGCTGGGGGGCAACGGGGGGGGGAGGGCATGGCTCTATAAACAGCTCAGACCCAGGCACTGGGTGGTGGGCACGCTTGTCACAGGCAGGCCCAAGTGAGTACCAAGTGTGAGGCTGCTAGATAGAAGCTGGCACCCAATGGAAGCCTGAGGCTGAGGCCCAGGCCCATGCGTGTCCCTCCCCCCTCAACCACACTAGCCCTCCTTGCCTCCTCCCATCCCTTCCACTCAGGAAAATGGTGTGTGCCTGAGTGCAAGGCCTGGTCCCCTTGTCTTCACCCATCACATGCTGCACAGCTGTGTCAATCTGTGGACACACTGGCCCTTTTCTGCTGTGCTTTCCAGATGGTTTTTTCTTTTATTGTGTGTGTCAGCCCTGGGCCTTGAACTCTGCCTCAGCACTGTCCCTGAGCTCGAGGCTGGCACTCTGCCACCTGAGCAAAAGCTCCACTTCTGGCTCTTTGCTGGTTAACTGGACATAAAGAGTCTCACAGACTTTCCTGCCTAGACTGGCTTCAGATTGCAATCTTCAGATAGATCTCAGCCTCTTGAGTTGCTACGATTACAGGCATGAGCCACCAGCGCTCAGCATGGCTGGTAACTTGCGGGGGGAGCACCTTGCATCCTGACTGGGTATACAAGTGGTGTCAGCCCCACACCTGGATTATCCTTAAACGTGCCACAAAGTGTGTAGCCCTCCCACCCTGCGCCTCCCACCCCGCCACAGGCCTCCTGAGAGAGAAAGAAGTCCCTGGGCGGGGACAGCCTCAGATGGCGCCAGCATGAACACATAGGATCTCAAGAGTAGTTCACTCGGGTCATTTATTCAAGAGACGACTGAGGAAGTCCAGCACCTGGGACGGCCAGAAACTCCTGTTACAATAGGGGCCGCACAAGCGCCACCGCTCCACAGGCCTGTGGCCCCAGGACAGGCCCGCTGACCACTGCCCTCTGGCTTAGTGCCAGAGGACAAAAACAGGATCGGCTCCTCAGCAGAGCCTCTGAGCCCCGACCCCCACCCTCACCCCACTTCCTAGCCACCCAGTTCTCAAACCATTGGGTCTCTGAAATGCTCAGAGAAACTAAAAGGAAACAGACAGAAAAACTGCCAAGAAGCTAGGCATTGTGCACCTGTAATCCCAGTGCCTGGGAGACAGGAGCTCAACTTTGAAAGATCAGCCTGGTCTACATGGCAAGACTCTTAAAAACAAAAGCAGTAACTAAGAAAAGCAGTGTGGGCAGGGGAGTGAGGGAGTGGTAGCAGCTGAGTGCGGATCTGTCCTGGAGAGGGGTGGGGTGGGGGTGGGAAGGGACAGGGCAGGGCACAGAGCAGCAGGCAGCCTGTGGCCCTCACACAAGGTCTTTATTCCCATAGCAGCCTGTGGGCAGGACCAGCCCTGGTAGTCAGTCCTAGTCTTCCTGGGCCAGGCGGCCTTCCCTGCTCAGTCTTCCACTCCTGCCTCTGTCTCTGCATGGTGATGAGGCTCCGCCCCACTCACACAGTCCACTTCAGACACCTGTGGACGGAGAAGGCCAGGAGAGGAGCCAGGACTCAAGAAGCAGTGGGGATGGGGCAGAGCAGCAGGGGGTGTGGTGGTGGGGCCCCAGCTCACCTGGTCTCCTGGTGGGTGCCCAGACAGCGCACGGTACAGTACCGGGCGCCACAGCTCACGCAGGTGTAGGGGGAGGGGAAGCCACAGACGGCGCAGAAGGGGCGCTGAGGCCGGGCCGGGGGTCCCGCACAGGCTGTCAAGTAGTTGGGGCCCTCAGCCACACTCAGGTTCTGCAGAGAGGTGTGTGACGCTGTGCTGACCAAAGCAGCTCTCTCTTTCTGTGTCCAGGTCTGTCCAGGCTCCCTGCTTCCTTCCAACGTCCCCCTCCCTCTCCCAGCCCCTCTCTTACCTGCTCCTCCAACAAGGCCTGGAAGTTCTTTCGGAAGCGGAGTTTAAAATGATCACCTCGGGTTTTCTTCTTTTTCTTTCCTGGCAATGAGTTTAGGTGACACATGGAGGTGGCCACCAAGCCAGGGATACCCCTGCCACACCTCCCTGCAGCCGCCTGACCCCGCTTCTCCAATCTTGGTCCCTTGTTGTCCCCATCCACCCCAGTCTAAGGCTTGCTTCTCCAGCCCCTATTGTACACACGAGGAAAACTGAGGCACACAAAGGGGAGAGGGGGTGCTATCACATAAGCCAATCACTGGCAGGGCCAAGGGCCACTAAAAGGCCCACTCCCACCCCAACCCCACACCTCAACAGTGTCTCCTGGAGCCTCACCTGTGTCTGCGTCATCATCAAACTGGGGCAGCCTCTTGGCAAGCTGGGGAAGGCCAGCGTGGGGGTCATCCTGGAAGTTGTCATTCTCTAGGGCCTCGAGCTGCCGGTCGATGCGGCGCTGGCGGGCGGCTCGATCCAGCACACGCCGCTGCCCAGGGTCCTGGGAGCGAACTAGATAGAGTGGGAGAGAGAAAGTTCTGGGCCAGGCACCAGTGGCTCACGCTGTAATCATAGCTACTCAGGAGGTTGAGATCTGAGGATCACAGTTCAAAGCCATCCCAGGCAGAAAAGTCCATGAGATTCTTATCTCCAATAAAGTACTCAGAAAAAACTGTAGTGGCGCTGTGGCACAAGTGGTAGAGCCCTAGCCTTGAGCACAAAGGGGCTCAGGGACAGTGCTCAGGCCTAAGTTCAAGCAAAAAGAAAAAGAGAGAGACAGACAGAGACAGACAGGAAGGGAGGGAAGAAGGAGGAAGGAAATAAGGAAGGAAGGAAATAAGGAATTTATGGTAATCACATTAGTGGCTCAAGTAAGCCTAGCTACTCTATGATCTCAGCCTTAGCAGAACAGTTCACTAAATTCCTCCCAAATAATCAAGTAAAAAGTCAGGCTGGAAGCATGGCTCATAGAACACCAGCCCAACAAGCCTGAAGTCCTGTGTACAAACTCCAGTACTTCCAAAAGAGAAAAAAATGCACCTCTACTGAAGACACATAAAATTTCTGTTCTTGTTATTATTTCTAAGTAATATTGGGATACTACTGACATAGATAGCATTTGCATTATATTAGGTATTGCCTGTAATCTAGAGATTTTTAAAGTACAGGGAAGGGAACATCTATGCAAATATGACAGCATTTTATATTGGGACCTTGAGCACCTCAGAGAGGTCAGTGCCACAGCAGAGCGGTGGTCTTGGAACCCATCCCCTAGGAGCACTGGAGGGGAACTGTACTAAGCTCTTTACCAGGCATGGTGGTGTACATTTAAACCCCAGCCTTGGGGAGGTAGGAGCAGAGGATCTTGAGTTTGAGGCCAGCATGGGCTAATATGATGGAACACTACCTTAAAATGAAAAAGAGGGCTGGGAAGGTGGCTCAGTGGTAGAGCGCTTGCCTTGCATGCCTGAGGCCCTGGGTTCGATTCCTCAGCATCACATAAGCAAAAAGAAAAAAAGCCAGAAGTGGCACTGTGGCTCAAGTGGTAGAGTGCTAGCCTTGAGCTGAAGAGCTGAGGGACAGTGCCCAGACCCAGAGTTCAGGCCCCACGACTGGACCCCCCCAAAAAAAAATGAAAAAAAGAAGCCAGTGCTGGTGGTTTATGCCTGTAATCCCAGCTACTCAGGAGGCTGAGATATGAGGATCATGGTTCAAAGCCAGGAAAGTCCATGAGACTCTTATCTCCAATTAACCACCAGAAAACCAGAAGTGGAGCAGTGGCTTAAGAGGTAGAGTGCTAGCCTTGAGCTGAAGAGCTGAAGGACAGCACTCAGGCCCAGACTTCAAGCCCCATGACCAACAAAAAGAGAAATAAATTTAAAGCACAAAGTTCTGGTCACATCTCTGTATTTCTTCCTTTGCAAGGGTCAGGCAGTGCCCAGGTTCTGAAACTGCAGGAGTTTATGGTCTAGTCGGAAGAGAAATGATTAAGCAAACAGGTCCAGTGCTGCAAGACACTGTGCAAGGCACAAAGCAGGAGAGAGCACAAGAGCCTTGCTTTGGGGTGGCCGGTCAGGGATTTCTAACAGGTAAATCTAGGCTGAAGCCTAAGTCTTGAGCAGCCTGGGTTGGGGAGAAAGGAGAATGCTTAGGCCTTGGTGCCCTCCTGCATGAGGGAAGGCCGGAATGGAAGAGTGGGTGTCTTTTGTAAGCCCATTGGTATTCAGCCTGGCTGGCTGTCATGTTAAGGCAGGCCAGATCTCACAAAGTCCTACCTTGTATGTAAAGGGGTTGGGATCTAAGGGTTTCATGAAGATCAAAGGAGAACCAGCTGGAGAAAAGGGTGATATCACTCAATGCGTTGCAAGTCAATCTTACAGAATTCACACTTTTATCTTTTATTAAAACCTCTGAATGTAGGTCTAGACAAAACAAGATTCAATGGAATTAGAGCCAGGTGCTGGTGGCTCACATCAGCAATCATAGCTACTCAGGAGGCTGAGATCTGAGGATCACAGTGGTCCAAAGCCAGCTCAGGCAGGAAACACCGTAAGACTCTTCACTCCAATTAACCACCAGAAAAATAAAACGTGGAGCTGTGAAGTGCTGGCCTTGAGCAAAAAAGAGCCCAGTGACAGCACCCAGTACCCATGACCAACAACAAACTAATTTCCTCAGGTGGCACTAGCCACATATGCCTCATTTCCCACTGCTAACACAGATAAAGAATAGTCCCATCATACTAGAAAGTTCTGCAGGACGGCACTTTTACACCACAACTGCTTTGCTAAAAGATAAACACTTGAGCTAGGTGCCAGCGAGCGGCTCATGCCTGTAATCTTAGCTACTCGGGAGGCTGAGATCTGAGGATCCCGGTTCTAAGCCAACACTGGTCAGGAAAGCCTGTGAGACTCTTATCTCCAATAAACTACTCAGAAAAGGCCAGATTTGGTGCTGTGGCTCGAGTGGGAGAGCGCTACTCCGAGTTCAAGCTCCGGGACAGGCAAAAATAAAACAATTCTGCTTCTGCCACACGCCTTTGTCCCACGCCCCTGAGGCCCCGGGCGGTGGCGCCCTCCTGCAACCCAGCACTCAGGAGGTTTAAGGAATTGAAGAGTTCAAAGCCAGCGCGGGCTACACAGTAAGACCTTGTCCCAGACAGCCTTCGGTGGCTTCTCCACCGTCTCTGCGTGGCCCTCTGCCCAAGGCACGTCTCACTCCGCCATGCAAGAGCGGATCCGCAAGTCCCCATCTCAGAAACTCGGTTTTGGGGAGTCTTTTCCCCCCACTGCATCGGCCGCCAGCGCCGGGCCGGAGCAGGAGTGAGAGGCTCGGGGCTTCCCTGCTGCCGGTAAGACAGTGAGGCCAGGAGATCCCAGCTAGGTTTGCACCCCGGTGGCAGCGGCAGGAGAACCGCTGGGGATTCACGTACCAGAAGTTTTCTTTTCCACCATTTGTGCAACACAGCGGCCGGAAGAGCCCACTGCGCATGCGGACTAAGCCAGCCAACCCAGGGGCGGCAGAAGCACGCTCACTTCCGGCGGCGCACGCGCAGCACAGCCTTCCCGCCGGCTTCCCCCCGGCACCGCCTGGCGTTCCCTCGGAGACCGGAACGCTTCCCGCCATGTTTTTTAAGGGCAGTCCTACTTCCGACCTCAATATGGTTGCCCCTCCTTCTTGAAGGAACCTCGAGATGGGTTAAAGAGAGGGTGCCGCTGGCTTTGCGAGCCATGTTCTTTTCCTTGGGTACTTGCGAGAGCGCTTTTATAAATGAGGGCGACCCCCGGCGACGAGCTCCCTAGCCCGGAGAGGGC